TTTTCAGCGTTTTGAAAACGCATAAGCTGTCAAAACGCAGTTTCTCAGGTGCATTTTCGAAACGCCACTGCACCAAATAAACTGCCCCAAACGGGCCCTCAAAAGAGACGAGCAAAATAATCTGAAGAGAGATGATCCTAATTGCAAATAAGACCCATCACAAACCTTAAATACAAATCATGTATCAAAATAACCAAACCAATAGCAGGCCTCAACTAAACATTACATCAACATAAAAAATACATTATATCAACATAAGAAAAAAAAAAATCTGAACCCGAATTGATCCATAAAAACAACGAAAATTTATATAAACACCACACAAATCGTATGTATTTACATATGTAACACCAAACCTTCCATTTTTTACATACCTGCCACCTCACCTAGTAAGAAAATGTGTATTTTACTCTCTAAAAGTTAAAATGATGGTGTTTTTAATGTCATCTATAAGATTTGGGTGGCATAAATGTAAGAAGCAAAGTTTAGGGAGCTAGATATGTAAATGCAAAGAATTATGGCAATGGTGGGAAGATTGTGGAGTGAGGTGAGATGACAGATTCCTGCACAAACTTTCTGGGATTGTTGGGATCAATGCCCCATTTGATCTCACTCATGTTAGGAGTCTCAACAAACACCATATTAAACTCCCCAGTCTTCTCAGTCTTCCCTTTCTTCCCAGCTCTCAACACAAGGTTGCCCTTGTGGTATGAGAATATGCCATTGGTGAGTCGGATTATGTCGCCGGGCTCGAAAAAACAGCACTCGTCTCCCCATAGTTGAAAGTGAAGTGAAGCGGTCTCGTCGGCAACGAGAGCAAGGCAAGTCGTCTCCTTCCCGTCCTGACCGACATTTCCCTTATCAAGGAGTATGAACTTTGTGTTTATTGTGTTGGTGGCGGCAGGGACTATGTCTTTGAGGGAAATCATTGGTAAGCCTGAATATATGAAATGAGCAATAAATCAAGTTAAAAAAAAAACATCGAAAGAAGTTGAGAAGTATTTGATAAAATAAGAAACATATGGCAAAGAGAAGTGTAGAACTAAAATAAATATTTGATACCCAGAGCTAAATTAACCCAATTCCTATGTATTTACATATCTAACACCTCAGCTTTGTTTTTTACATTTTTACCACACAAAACATTTCACATCATATCAAAAGTACCACAATTTTAACTCTTTAAAAGTGATATAAACCTTTTTCATGCATAGATAAAGTGACATATAAATGCAAAAAGTGAAGTTTAAGTGTTAGATATCTAAATACATAAGAGTTGAGTGGTATGTATGTAAATCTTCCGTAAGAATTGCAAGTTGTAGTGTAAAGGTATAAGTTTGTGTTGAAGTTAAATTTTAAGTTGAGCAATCAATTTTGAAGTGAGAAATAACTATATTTTAATTTAAATACACATTTTTCTGCATAGGTAAGGCGGCACGTATGTAAAAATTGAAATTTTGGTGTTAGATATGTAAATACCTAAGAATTGAGTGGTATGTATGTAAATCTTTCGATAGATGGAGTAATGCCACACTCTTCATATAACTATTATATCTGTTTGTGAGGGTTTAGAACTGTAATTTTTTATGACAAATATGCAAATAAGGAAAGTGATGTATGAGTTAACTTGATAAATGATAGGCATTCACATAAATACCACCCAATTCTTATGCATCAACATATCTAACACCTAAACTTTAATTTTTACATTTATACCACCCAAATCTTTCATATCACATCAAAAGTACCACAATTTTAAATTTTAAAAAGTGAAATACACATTTCATGCAAATGGAAGGTGGCATGCATGTAAAAAATGTTTTAGTGTTAGATATGTTACATAAGAATTGAGTGGCATGCATGTAAATCTTCCTTTATAATAATGCAAGTTCTCCAAAAGTCTCTCATCCTCTAGTAAGATTATCAAGATTAGTGATAAACCGTGGTCATTAATGCTTCGGGCATATCATATTCTGACTTATAACACGAGTTCTGAGATAGTTGGTAGCATCGTATGCTTCTATTAACCATACCAAAGCGCATAATTACAGCACTCATGGTAGCAGGATTATACTTCAAACAATCTCCATCAATTACATTGCAATTAGTGTTTCCTGATAAATCCTAAGTAGTTGCTCCCAATATCTCTAAAGTTTAGAACATTTGTCACCGAAATGAAATATAATTCCTCTTGAAACCTAGGTCAGACAAGGTGACACATGGGTGGAACCACCTCTTGCACTTATTGCCACAAGATAATGGAATTACCCTAAAAAATAAACATGAAGTGCATACATAAAGACATAACAAAGGTTGACTGAAAGATAAATTAAAAATTACGACAATACAAGCAAACCTAATACAATGAAGTAATATATCAAACCCAAGTTGGGTAGTTACACAAACGAGGATGAGATCAAATAGCAAATTCAATCCAATTGTGTAGCAATGATCCATTCATGGTCGTCAGAAAAACTTTTTCAGCTTCGTAAGTCATTAAAGTTTCATAAACCGCAATTATGGCTTCATAGGAAATGTTTGAAATTTTGTCAAGATTCGCCAAACATTCAACAGTAGTTTATTGAGAGTGACGGTCGACCCGTTGAGATAGTTATGCATTTTTGTTCACTGTCTGAGCAACACTTGCAGGTTTGATGTATTTTCTCTTCTTTTAATAGGTCGATTATTATTATAAATTCTTGCATTTGATCGTTTGCTACCGCTCGATTGACCGGATGCTTGTCGCATGCTGATATCCGTGTCTGATTGAACATCTGCTGGTGAATCTGACACATCCAACTCATCTAGATAGCTTACTTCATTCATTGTCAAAAAGTCATCAGCATGCTTAGTAATTTTCTCTTCTTTAGTCTCCTCTGGAGAAGAACCACCATGAGAATATACCGCATTGATAGAAAGGATACCTTCGAAATCGTTTTAACTTTGGGTTAACATATGAAAATTTTCTTCTGTTAACTTTTATTATAATATTGATCAATTTTAAATATACCACTGCTGTGATAACTTACCTTTAGAATTTCTCCCCAGGTTTCATCAGTTACTATCGGAAAGTGTGTATCTTCATTTCAACCCCAACCACTGCAGTTAAATAACTGATACACTGTCCTAATATCAGCTTACATATTTTTAAAACGAGTCATAGCCATTGATTCAATGGAAGATGTGTCTAATCGTCAATTCCATGCATCCATAATGATAACCCAATAATCCCTCTTCATTCTATCTTCTATCATATGGCCACATTGAAATTGTTTGAGCATCAAATCCACAAGAACAGTACTGTGTTCCTCCAGCCATTTTAGCGTTCTAACGTTACTTGTTTTTATTTCCGGTATTGATGGAAATAATATTATCAGATGATGGTTTTGAACTAGAATAACCACATTAGATCAACTTTCCTATTAAATATTTCTTCATCATATTTTTACGAGTCATAACCATTGATTCAAAGAAAGATGTGTCTAATCGTCAGTTCCATGCGTCCATAATGACAACCCAATAATCCCTCCTCATTCTATCTTCTATCATATGAGCATATTGAAATTGTTTGAGCGGCAAATCAGCAAGAACAGTATTGTGTTCCTCCAGCCGTTTTAGCGCCCTAACGTTACTTTTTTTTTATTTCCAGTAGTGATGAAAATAATATTATCAGATGATGGTTTTGAACTAGAATAATCACGTTAGATCAACTTTCCTATTGAATATTTCTTCATCATTATAGGATCTTGAACATTAACAAAATTATGTTCTTAGAAAAATCATAAGTATGGTCATTTTAAAATTGTAGATTAACAAGGAAGAAATACCATTTTTTTCTCTTATGTGTGTAGCATGTCTGAGAAGGTGAATGTAGCTGACATTTAACGATTCGTGATCACTTAGAATATCATTTCTTAAGTAGTAGTTGTCTAATATTTTATGAACAATAATATTGTTATGTTTATCATTTGTAACAGGATTTTCATTGCTCAAAACCTCTTCAGAGTTACTCATATTCAGTTAGCTCTATTTTAAGAAAAACAACACTTAGAATACGCGGATATAAACATTTTTTTCAATGATCTTATACTTCAATTAGCAACCCTATTACAACCAAAAGGACATGGATTCATAACAGATTACTCATTTTTAGCGACAAAGATATTGAATGCTAGACTTAACAAATATACAACTGAATATGTTCACATTTATTAATCATAAGAGAAATATTCATATTTATTAATCATAAGAGACAGACTGATAAAATTGCAAATAGAACCTTCATCTTTGAGATAAGAAGACAACGTGGCATACCATGTTAGTTGTTGAGTCTGATTGTAGCACCCATGAGCAGCAGGTTGGCTTCCACGTAGTAAGTGCTAACCCATTAAGTGTTTCAAAATCGAGAAGGTGGAAGTCTTGCGCCCAAAGTAGGCACTTAGGCTCCCACTTCTGGCGCTAGGACGCCTGCCTCAAGAGAATAGGGTGCCCAGGCGCCCAAATTCGGGCTCCGAACTGTTTTCACAAGAATTGTTATTTCTGTCACGATTTTGGGTTGCATATGTGCGGTCTTGAAGTGTAACTCTTCTTGCTTGTTCATCAACAAAATCCTGGTGAATGTGAGAAGTGTTGGTGAGAAGGATTCTAGTGTTTTTTGACATGCGTCTCTGCATCAGATCAGTAGGAAGAGTGTGGAGTGGTGCACTCTAAGTTTCTTCGTGTGCGTGTAGTGAAAAAACTTGTGTGAATTCTTTGTAAAACTCTCTAAAATTCATAGTGGATTAATGGTGGTGTAGCTTTGTGGTTTTTCCAGTTCTCGGGTTTTTTCATGTAACATTCCTGTGTTTTTTTTGTTGTTTTATATTGTGCTTTTGGTTTAAACTTATTGTTCCGGTTTTCTCGAATCCTTTGATCCTATTTCAATGCGACATTGAGAATTGTTTGAAGGATTCTCAACAAAACTAGTATCAGAGCAGTGTTTGATTCAAGTGAGAGCAATGGTCGAATAAGCAAGGTTCAAGGTGGAAAAGTTTAATGGGATGAACTTTGCTTTCTAGAAGATGCAAGTGGAGGATTTATTGTATCAGAAAAAATTGTATTTGTCACTACAAAGAATCACAAAGAAGTCTGGGTCTATACCTATGGAGGAATGAAAAATTTGGATCGAACGGCACTAGGTTTGATCTAGTTAACGCTTTCCTCATATGTTGCGTTCAACATTGTGAATGAAAAAACTACAGTGGATCTCATGGCGGCATTGGCCAAGATGTAAGAAAAAACCTTCTGCTCCAAATAAGATTTTTTTGATGAAAAAATTATTCAATATGAAGATGGTGGAAGACAGTTCAGTAGTGCATCTCAATAACTTTAATACTATGACAAGCCAGTTATGTTTTATAGAGATGAAATTTGATGATGAGATCAGCACACTAATGATACTATTACATGAAAAAAATGCTAAAATCAACAGAAGAACCGACGGCTTTTTACACGTCGAAAAGATTTTTATAATTAATGATGGTTTGACGACGGTTTTTTATCTTGATTATTTGTGATTATATAACAACAACATAAATCGTCACTTATCAACAATATTTTGTTTCCCGAATGTTTTTAATTATAACCGACGGAATAACTCGTTGGTTAAAAGAAAATATTAACCAACAATTATAGTGCATCGGTTGTCTTTGAACCCACCATCCGGCGGAGTTTTAACCAACGCAATTTTTGATTATGCGGCGGAAGTGGCCGTTAGTAAGAGTTTTAATAACTGACACAATTAAAATCATTGATAGATCATCATACCAAAACATATATCCTGCATGATTTCACCTCCCCCTGGTTTTGCCTTAATTTCTCTCGCGGCTCTTCTCCAACGGAAACCCTCGCCTCTCCCCGAAACCCTTGCATCTCCCCGAAACCCTCTGTCTGAAACCCTCGTTTTCTCCCTGCAACCATAACCTTTGTCCCTATCCTCGAATCCCTCACGATACAAGCTAATTGGGAACGCAACAGCGGGATGATCCTCACTAGAGAGATTCATACAAATGGGTTGAGTGTAAGAATGGACACTCAAATTGCAATTCAAGCTAAGTGTCCATGACTATGAAAAATGACATACGAGACATATAGCACGAGAGGTATTGAATTCAGTCGCATGGAACATAGGACGACACTGGGGAGAATTACGCCTTGCCCCAATATCAAAAACACAGACACGCAAATGGCAAGCACATACAACGTATAGTGCACCATGAGCAAACAGACTCCAATGCACATGCAAAACATGCACTATGCAAGTGATAGGTCGACCAGGCTAGGGCGGTCGATCAGACCTAAGTGATTGGATGACTAGGTCGGAGCGGCCGGTAGAACGAAAGTGCTATTTCGCTCGAGCTGGAGCGGTCGGTCGAGGCAAAAGTGATGCCGACCCGTCGGTCGAGGCGAAAGTAATGTCGACCGTGTCGGGGCGACAGGTCGAGGCAAAAGTGATGCCGACCGGGCCGGGGTGGCTGGTCGAGGCAGAAGTGATGCTGACAGGGATGGGGCGGCTGGTTGAGGCAAAAGTGGTGTCGATCCAAGCAAGGGTCGAGGCAAAAGTGATGCCGACCGGGCCGGGGTGGTTGGTCGAGGCAGAAGTGATGCTGACAAAGATGGGGCAGCCGGTTGAGGCAAAAGTGGTGTCGATCCAAGCAAGTCACACACATATCGCAATTCAAAGCAGACGATCATGCTCAATAACAAGTCATATTCGTGCTAACAATCTCACATAGGACACTTAGGGTTTAGCGGCGTAACCACCTCCTGCTTTGGCGGGGTGTGGGGAGTTTCACCTCAGTGTCTCCAGAAGGGAAACTCTTCATGATATTGTGGAATGAGCTAGCTACAAAGTTTTTCTCATTTCACAACTCCTCATGATTTTGTAAGGTGAGTTAGCTACAATTTTTTTCTCACTTTGTAAAACTCAAACCTCTCAACCTCTCCAAGGAAGATTTAGAGAATGTTAGAGCAAGGGGAAATATGGGATTCCAACCCATTGGGATTTAGATCTAGGGCTCACAGTAGGAGTGTCCGACGAAAGCTTCCTAACCTACTAGGAAATTAACGACCAATCCAAAGGAATGTAGCCGCGCTGACTAACATCGGCGAGCACACTCACTATGTGTGGGCGACCGGACCCAGCACACCAATCTTAAGCTGACCCAAGGTCGGCTAGGAAAGAAAACTCAAAAGTTTGAGTTTATATTGTCGCGTTGGTTTGGACGTCCTCGCCGCTTACTCTGAGTTGTCGATCTCCACTCAACGCGTTGTCATATCTTTATGAGAGAGTTGGACGAATCGAAGCATGCCCGGATTTACCTCGCAATGAATCACAAAAAAATGGTAGATTTCAAAACTTAAGTGTTAGATATGTGACTATACAAAATTGTGAGGCATGTAAGTAAATTTATGAAAATAAGAGAAAAAGGGAAAAGGGAGAGAAAGATTGCTCACCATAGGTTAATGCAATACGCACTGCAGTGCTACCAATTATTATCATAAGTACTTAGCTAAACAAAGTCATTTTTATATAGGGGCAATTACATACATATCACCCAATTCTTATGTATTACATATATAACAATACCTAAACTTTAATTTTAACATTAATGCCACACAAATCCTTCATATCATAACAAAAATACCACCATTAAACTTCAAGAAAAGTGAAATACACCCTTTCATGCATGGATGAGATGGTAAATGCAAAAATTAAAATTCAAGTGTTAGATATGTTAAATACAAAGGAGTTGAGTGGTATACATGTAAATCTTCCTAATTTTAATATGTCCTGTTAGCGTATTACTTCATAAGTGTATATAAACTGATGCCAGTTTTTCTTCTAGTAATCCCTGTAAGCAAAGAAAGAAAACTTTGCATACATACCCCGAAATTCCCAAGGATTTAAATGTCTAATAATTATAGTTTTTACTTTACATATGCATAAATAAGTGAATTCACATTTTAAAAATTAAAATAGTGTTCTCTATTATGTGATATTAATAAAAGGTAAAGTTTAGGTGTTAATCTTCATCAATGCATGAACTTTCAATAGGAATCAGGTTCCATAAATCTTAATATCAGAGAACAAAAGTTCTTCTTAGATATAAGTATGTAAATACATAGAAATTGAGTCGTATATATGTAAATTCCCCTAATAATAATAATATTAATAATATCCTAGAATTCTAGTGAATAGCCAGAATAAGCACCCATTTGCCTAGTCCCAAAAGCTTTTTCGATTGGACCATCTACAAATAATAAATTACAAAATCAACTGGTCTATTGTGGAAGAAGAACTTTCAGCCTCCAATGTGGTGCCATATGTCCTTGCAGTTCAACCTCAGGCTCAACCTAACATCTAGAAAGATCTAGAAAGATCTAGAAAGAATCGAGAAAAGAATTTAAGAACACTTGAAAGTGAATAGAAGTTTTGAGAATCTTAAAAAATGCTGGTTCCTGTTGCTGGAAGGCTGTTGGCATATCAACATATGTTGCAAATTATGATATGCTGCCTTTATACTTCCACAACTGATATTAGGGTAAGTATATAAAAAGATTAGGTTGGTTTGCATACATACTACTCAATTCCTATGTATTTACATATTTAACACCTAAAATTTTTTTTTTTTTTTTTTTACCACCCAAATCATTCATTTCACATCAAAAGTAGCATTTTTTTAACCTAAAAAAATGAAATATACCTTTTCATGCATAAGATGACGTATATGTAAAAATTGAAGTTAAGGTGTTAGATATGTAGATACATAAGAATTGAGAAGTATGTATGTAAATCTTCCAAATGATAATGGCATCAAGAAACTGGAAGTGATATCAAGGGACATGGGACATTGTTTAGCATACCTGAGAAAAGGATAGTTCATGTTTGCAAGAAAGCATGGATCAATATTCATTGAAAAAATTCAAGTAATCCATATATAATGCGCCTATAATGATATGTAAAATTAGATGCCTGCAAGATTTAACTTTTCGTAAAAAGGAGAAGATTTGGAGCTGTTGCAAGGAGTTTGGCTTTTCATTGTTTTTTTCACAAGGGAATCTGTTGAATCCAGCTATCCAGGATACAAGAACCCAACCTTGTTTATCCATATTCTGCCGCAAGTATATGTCTTTACACAAATTTTCCGAGCTGAGGAAAGTGGAGGTTGGCTGTCGGGGAGGGAAGAAAGGAACAATGTTGAGGAGATGGAAGATCTGTACCTGTGGAGGGCTTCCTGTGCTAATATGAGAAGTAGAGGAGAGGGAGATAGGTTTTTTTTTTTTTTTTTAAGCCGAAATGTCCAGTCACATTCATTTAGAGAGCATAGATTAGCATTAGGTATGCAGATATAGAAGAAATTGAATGGCATGCATGCAAAATCTTTTCCCCATCATTTTGCCCTAAATCCGGATTCAGCAAATCACTATGAGACATAAAGGATTCAAAGGAACAAGTGCAACAAAAGAAAGAAAAGGAAAGCTTGAGAGAGGAGGAATGGTCGCCACCTCGTTGAAGATCTCGGAAGGGAGCAAAGGGAAAGGAGGTGAAAGCTTCGGTGCCCCTGCAAGACGCGACCCCGCTGTTTTATTTTCAATGGCCCGAGTTCCGGTGAGGGTTTCAGCAGAGAGGAGGAAGCGGGCAGGCAAGCTTCGGAGACCTGCTGCGTCTTGCGTCGCAAGAAGGAGAGCCGACTTTGGCTCGGCGCTGGGGCATTATTGCATGAGAGGAGGACCTGCATGAGTGAGCATAAATGTAACATCAGTGGTACACATTTAGAGTAACATGTTTATCTAATACTCATGCGACAGATAAAAAAATGACACAATAACACGAAAAACATTTTCCCCCGTGTTATTCATGCGTTACTGATATATTATTGTGTTATTAAAACACTAAAAATATTCAAATGACACAATAACACAAAATAACACCAGAATAACATTTGGGAATATTCCTGACAAAGAGAAAAAACTGTGCGGTAATACGGGGGAATATTCCCCTCATGTTATTCATGTGTTATTGTGTATTATTCATGTGTTATTGATGTATTATTGTATTATTATAACACCGGGAATATTCACAGGACACAATAACACTTGAATAACACAAAATAACACATGAATAACACGTAAGGGGGATATTCCCCGTATTACCGCGCCATTTTTTTATGTCGCGTGGGGTGTCGTGGTGTGATTTCATTGAATACGCACGTTCCTCTACGTGCGTAGTACTGATGTAATATTTTTTCGCATAAATGGGCAAAACTTTCAATTGGCATTCACATATGGAAGATCTGAAGTGTAGCAGAACGGCACACCTAAAGGTCTCAAGTTCCTGTCAAAAATAAATTAATTTTTTTTTTTTTTTTGGTTTATGATTGATTCTTTTGAAAATTAATCTTAATTTTGATTTAATGGTGAAGTATATGTAAGTGTAAATATGGGTGTGATGTGCAAATTGTGGTGTTTGTATGTGTTCTTTCAAAAAATAAAATCCCCTAAGTCCAAAAGATCTTTTTAAGTCATTCACAATCATTATATAAACTCAAAATGAGTTCCAATATGTTGGTTCCAATCAACTCAACTAAATGTTAATGATTTGAAACTACGCATATGAGACTACAAATAGTTAATATGTGGTTTAAATTTCTAAGTGTGTGAGTCCTAATTATAGTTCTCTAGGAGAGTCAGTAGAGAAGTCTTATGATTAGATCTTAGACTCTAGAGAGAGAAACGGACCTCACCAAAAAATGAGGTCAACATGTACTACCAAATGACAAAAGAACACTGCACAAAAAGTGGTCTACAGGCTGAAAGAGGAGTCACATTGTAGCAAGTGCTACAAGGAAAGACTTTTTGTGAAGGGTTCAATAGAAGGAATTAGCGGATTATGCAAAAATCTTCTATCAAGTGGTGAAGATGATGACTGTCAAGTTTATATTGAATTTGGTAGCAATGAAAGATCTATATTTGGAGCAAATGCATGTGCAAATAGCTTTTTTACATGGAGACCTGAACGAGGAGTTATACATGGTGCGACCATAAGCTTATAATGTTCCAGACAAAATGTTTTGTCTACATATTAAAGAAGAGCCTATATGGCTTGAAATAGGTCGCAAGGCAGTGGTACGTGAGGTTTCACTTATGTGCCTGCTTCCAAAGAAATGAGAGCCCAAACGCCCAAAACTAGACACCTAGACACTCAGAGCAGTTTTCACGAGAACCAATATTCATGTCATGACTTCGAGTAGTGTATGTGTAACTTGGAACGTAACTTTTACTATTTGTTCATCAACAAAGACTTGGTGAAGGTAAGAAGTGTTGGGGAGAACGATTTTGATGTTTTCGATGTGTGTTTCTTCGTCGGATCAATAGTAAAGCATGTGGAGTGGTGCACTCTAAGTTTCGTCATTTGAGTATGAAGAAGAAACTTGTGTGAATGCTTTGTAAAACTCTCAAAAATTCATAGTGAAATTTGTGATGGTGCGACTCTGTGATTTTTTCTCATTCTCTAGTTTTTCCACATAAAATTTTTGTGTTCTTTTCTTGTTGTTTCTTTGTTGTGCTTCTGGTTTAAATTTATTGTTTTTGTTTTCTTAAATCATGTGATCATATTTCGTTGTGACATTGAGAATTGTTTGGAAGGTTCTCAACATGTTATTGATATAGAGCTTGTTTAAGATCATATATTGCTTTCTTTAGTAGAGAAACATGATTCAACATATGATAATCTTTAGAAATTTGTGGTTGAGTCATGCATAGTTCTCTCAAGTCATCCATGAAGAAAGACACTGACAAAATCGAGTTGTAATCTGTTACTGAAATTAAAAGATAATTCAAGGAGAAGACAACTTGTAGAAAGCTTAGCTACAATGCTAGACATCTCAATATTATCAGTTTTGTATTTTTATTTATATTCATGAGCAACAAGCCATGTCTTTGTATATAGCAATGAAATCGTTGGAGTTGTTTTTAAGATTACAAATACATTTGTTGTCTAAACCATCTTAAAGAGGATTTAGCTGGTACCAAAGTCAAAGTTATTTTTTGTGACTAAAGTGCTTGAAATTCATTTTTCATTGTTTGATGACCTTTAGAATGCTTGGTGAGAGTGTTATAATAGGTTGGTATTATTAGGGATGCAAAAGAAAGAGTAACATTAAGAACGTTTTGAGGATTGAGTGTTATTATGTCACACCCTCACTAATCTCCTCGAATAAAAAAAAGGGTATAATGGAGATGGATGACTCAATCACGCTCAATTCACTTCAACCCTCATTTTAACATGCAAGAATCGAAACTAACTAAGTCATTGATTGATATTGCGAAATCGTTATATATATACTTCATTTCATCCAATATTCATTTTTTTTATTAAAAAAACGGGGAAATGTACATAAATAATGTTTAATTTATATAAGAAGTTGTTAAACACTTAAATATAAATGTGTACAAACCATAAAGTCATCCAAAATTTTAAAATTCAAAAGCTACACAAAAGATAATTCACCTAACAAACAACATAATATTGAGTATGTTAGAGGTTTAATAAGATACTTATTAGAAAAATAACATTCAATATATATGAACTAAATAACATGCATGTTAGTTAGTGGTTAATACGAGCAACAACAACATTGAACATGATTTAATTTTTAAAAAGTAAAACAAATAAGAAGCAAAAGCAATATAAAAATTAGTGGTCAATGTTAATCAAATCCATATTGACATTAACTTCATCATATAAAATATGTATGACATAATATTACTTCTACTTTCATTCTTATCAATAAATTTTTTATCTTATAGATTTCAATTTTTATTTGTATAGGTTTTAATTATTTTTTTTCATTGGTTCATCACTTAGTGGGTTATAACTGCTTATAAACTTATTGGGTTAAAACGTCTTATAAATGTTATTCAACAAAAATGATTATTAACAATCCCGTGATACTAGGGGTGTAAACGAGCCAAACACGAGCGAGCCATGCTCAAGTTGTGTTCGGCTCGCTTATATTTCGAGCTCAAAAAGTGTGTTCTTGTTTGACTCGTTTGTTTAGCTAGTCGAACACGAGTTGTTCACGAACAAAGAGTCCTTTTAGCAGCCATAATCACGTAGCCATAAGACGATATGTGTTTGAGCAAGATTTAAAAATTATTATTTATATTAAAATATCATTTGAATCTAATTTAAGAATTTTAATTCTATTTTCTTAATCAATATTTTAATTGATTATAAATCTTTGTAGCCTTATAGTCACTTAGATTTTTTTTAAATACTACTTTTATATAT